TCGGCAGGCTCCCAGCAGCCTGTGTTTGATGTTGGGGACAGCTGGTGTTGCTCTCTCCCACCTGCTGGTGTTTGACGCAGGTACAATAAAAGCTCCCACCCCTCTAGAGCCCCTCAAATTCCCATCAGGAATTCCCTGGGGCCAGCCCACTCCTTCCTGAACAAGCCAGGGCATCAGTCACTGGTGGCCCCTTGCTGGGGCAGAGGGGACCTGCCACCACCCTGTGATGATTTTGGAGCTGCCACAGAGCAGCCGCGAGGACAGGCGAGGACAGGCTCCCACCGTCACCTCTGGCAAAGGCTGCAGGGGCTCCCTGGAGCAGGGGTGGTTTGCCAGAGGTTGGTAAGATCACAGCTGTGATGGCATCAGTGCACCCAAAACCAGGAGAGCCCCGCAGCAGTCCCGGTCCCACCGGTGGTTGCCCGGTGGGGGATGTTCACCAGGTGCAAAGCCATCGGCTGTTCCTGGTGTTGCACCTTGACCTCACATGGAAAAACACCGCATAACCGCAGCCCAGTGCCTACCTTGGTACTCCAGTTTCCTCTTCTCCAGCTCTGCCTCGAGCTGGTCTAGCACCATCCCCAGCTCCCCAAGGATCTTCTTCAAGTAGTTCACGTTGTCGTGCTCCAGGATCTTGGCCTGGATGAAGAGCGGGGTTAGGATGCAGAATGGATGAACGGATGGATGGATGTGTGTTCTCACAACCATGCAGGGACAGGAGGCAGCAGGTGCCCATGGCAGGTCCACGGGTCGTGTCCCCCCACCGCCAAAGAGATGTGTGTGGCTTTGACCCGCTTACCATGAGCTTCTTCTGCTTGGAGAGGTAGGGCTCTGATAGCTGTGGCTCTTCTTCATGGTCCAGCTTCATCAGCTCTGTGCTGGCGTTAGCTAAATGTCCTGGGGGGAGACAGAGAGAGGGGCTTGGGGGGGGCTGTCTGGCAGGGGTAGGGGTGACCTTGTGGCTGGTAGCAAAGCACTTTGTCCTGTGTGCAAAATAGTGGTGTGGCACCAAGGAAAACATTCTGGAGAGCTAAAACAGGCCAAATTCATGGCTTGCTGCCACAGGGGTGGGTGGGGAAAAATGCCACCAGTGAGGAGATTTGGACAGAGATATGTTTAAGGAACTCAGTAGAGTGCTGGGGCGGTGACACAAGGCAGGTGGCTCTGAAGCCATCACAGTGGCACCCTTTGGGGAGGGGACAGGCTCTGGGGGTGGCAGTGAAGCTCAGGGTGTGGGGACAGCTGCTTGTGTGAGGTGCCAGCACAGGCAGGGCAGACCATGAGATACACCTCAGGAACCTATTTCTCTTTGTACATGAGTGCATCCCATTTCAGAAGGACCATCTGTGACCCAGGCAGCTGAAGGGACAGTGCAGGGGAACAGTGTTTGCTACGGGTGCTGCTTGGGGCTGGAGCCTATAGCAGGGGAGAGACACGGGGCACTCCAGTGCCCTCCTAATCTCTCCAGGAGCCATCCTTGCTGTTGAGTTATATTAAGCATCGTCAATGTTTCATGAGTGCTTGAAGGTCAGGTACACAGTCTTATGCCAATTCATCCTCTATCTGCAACTCAGCCTTGCTGTAGTCACTCGCCTTTGCCCTCAGAGCTATTGAGGGGGATGGAGGCTGTGCAGGAGAGGAAGCAAATTCATGTACCCCAGAAAGAGCTGTGTGAGGAGTGTGCATGGCCCGTGGGAGCCCAGACATTCACGGGGCCAGGAAGGGTGCCTGCAGCTCCCCAGCTACCAGTGCTTTGCCATTTCCCAGCTCTGTCCCTGCCTGCATTGGTGAAAAGGGGAGATGAGCAGGAGCAGGGTGGCTGGCCGGGCTGCGGAGCCAAACCGAGCCTAAGGGAAGGGCTGGGGGAGCTGTCCCCCCTGGAGAGGCGACTTACTGCGGATCTCAGCGGTCGCGTACTTTGGGATCATGGAGTCGGTGGTGAGCTCGGGGTGCAGGATGCAGCCGTGGGTGTAGGCGTCCATGGGCAGCGAGTCCAGCAGCTCCCGGTACTGCAGCACCCGCGTGTGCAGCACGCTGCCTGGCTCGGGGATCAGCTGGGTGACGTTTTCTGCGGGGGCAAAGGGAAAGGTGTTAGCGGGGACACTCATTAGCAGCTCGTTAGCCTGCGTGGGACACCAGTGTGCAGTCCTGGCTTGAGCTGCCTCTGAGCAGGGTTTCAAAACCACACTCTATGCTCAGCTCTGCCCCATTCCCGCTGCCCAGCCAGGAGCGTGTCCAGCCTGCACCCAGAGATGGGCAAACCCGCAGGACCACAGGGACGTGTACACGTGTCATCACCCAGCCCCGCAGCCCCCGTGTCCCCAGGAGCTCAGCACAGCAAGCCCTTTGCCTCTGCAGCCCCTGGAGTCCGTATGCTGTTGTTTCACATCTCTCAGAAAGGGAATAAAATCTTCCCGTTCTGCAGAAAAGAGCCAGAACACGGGGGTCTGAGTTTGGGATCTCCTGAGTTATGCACTCCTTACACCAGTGGCAATGAGGCACCTAATTTTCCTGGCCTTCCTTGAAAATCCCATTCAAACTGGGTAACAAGGGATGACCTGATGACCAAAGAAGGAGCCCAGCACATCTTCCCTCTGCACTCAGCCGGTGTCTCAGCTGCAGGAGCATCCCCTGCCCTGGCTGGCTCTGCTCCTCCTCGCCTTGTTGGGTTTTATTAATCTTTTGCAGGTGGCAGTTTGTATCCTGCTCTTTTTATTACACTTTCAGCTCAAAATACACAGCAAATGACACCACAAGGAGAGAAGCGTTGCTCTTGTCTCCCCCAAGAATATCAGGTCCAATTTTTTTATAGGATCATAAAGGTTTATGGTGTTTTCAGATAGCAGTTGATAGGTAGTGAGTAAATTCGCCCCAGGGACTCAGCAAAGCCAGTTGCCCACATGCCGACTGCAGCACCAGGCTCACCGCACGCTCGCATCTCGAGCCAAGTTAAGGCTCATTGGCAGAAGGACTTTTTGCCAGACATGGCCAACGTGGCTCCTTAATTAAGAGCCCTAAATGACAGTTCTGCCCAGCCCCACTGCCGGCACCCGCGGCTGGACAGGTCCCAGGGAAATATTGGCGGCTCCTGGATTGCAAACCTCCTGCCAGCTCTGATTTGGGGCTGTCTCCACTGGTGGGCTCCGAAAAGTTGTTCTGACCGAGGGGCATCAGCGTTACTTGTCCCCTGGACGAGGGGAGGTTTTGGGAGCTCCTCCCTGCCCGCGGGCTGCTTGCTGCCTGTGCTGCCTGGGCTCCAGCTCTCCAAGCAGAGAATTTCCATCCAAGAAAAGCTACTGGGTGAATGAAATGATAATAACCAACCCATAGCCTGTGTGCTTCTTCCACAGGGCTCCTGGCCAGCAGCACCTGATGGGCTGGTGCCGAGGCTGGAAACCAGCACACCCAGAGCGACTGCCCCGTCCGGCAGCGAGACGGAGAGACCGCAATGGAATAGCGGTGTGCTGGCCACCATCCCGCATCCTTCAGCGTGTCCCAGGGAGGATTTTCAGTGGGATGGTGCTCGCTCTGCCTTTGCATGCCTCGGCGGACCTACACGTACAGGCTGCTGTTGCATACAGCCAGCAAGTGATGGGCCGTGCAAAGGTGGGATGGGGGGAGGCTCAGAAGGCTGGGCTGGGGGTTGCACAGAGAAGCACCCTCAAAGGTGGCTTATTGGCACTATTCACTGCTTTTTTGGTGACAGAAATCCATTGCTCATCACCTCACCCTCTGCTGATAGCTGCTGCTCAGTGTGTGTGAGCAGCTGTGAAAGGCCATGCTCCCAGTCCAGCGGAAAACAACTCAGGGAAAACGCTTATAAAGGTATTTTCAAGCTCTGCACATGTCTGCAAGGTGGGTGATTCCCTGTCAGACCAACGCTGTGGCATCCTGGTAACGCCTTTGCCCGCTAGCGTTGGTGGGCGATGGCTGGGGGCAGAGGACGCGGCAGGGAGGGATGCTTTGGGCCCTCTTCCCTGGAGCTTCCCCTCTCCATTCCTCAGCAAAAAGGTAAGAAGTTGCACCTGGCTGGAGAATCTCAAAGGCAGGAGTTTCCCAGCACACAGGCAGTGCTGTGTCCCCCTCCTGCTGGGGACAGCCTGTTGTCACATATGCCGGATCACCTGCCCTTCGCAGGGACCGGGTGAAGCTGCTGCACGGTGTGGGGACCACAGAGCGATGCTCCCCGCTGCCCCTTGGCCCCGGGGCTGCTGGCATGGGCAGGAAAGCGGCTGCCATTCCCTGGGATCTGCTGCCGGCATGGGCTCCTCCTGCCCGAATGCATCCCACCACCCCACCGGCAGGCGAGCATCATGCCTCCGCCGAGCAGCACCACAGCAGGGGGCCGGGAGAGGACAGCAGCTGAGCTGGCAAGACGCCCTCACTTCGGGAGCTATTTTGAGATGTTTTTTGATGTCTCCGTTGCAAGCG